TACGGGTCCTGTCGTCGCTCGCAGTTCTACGTCCCTTTCCCTGTCCAGCAGTTCCCTCGGGCTCCCTTATAGGCCTCCACGTTCCCTCATTCTCGAGGAACCTGGTTGGTGTCGGCTGTCTCGAGGACCTCAGCGTCACCACCACGTTCCCCGGGCACGAGCGGTTCGCTGTCTATTCTAAGGCTGTCTTAGGTTCCCCCCTTGCGACGTTCCCCCGCGACCCAGTGTCCGGTCTGTTTACCCTAGACACCGCCTCCTCTCCGGTTGGTGCGTCCTCCCAGGTTGTTGCAGCTTGCTCGTGTCGTTCCCTCACTCACCCATCCCTTCTCTGGCACCACCGCTTAGGTCACCCTGCTCTCCCTCGTCTGCGTCACATGTCTCAGCACGGACTTGTCTTAAGTCTCCCTGCATCGCTCCCCGCCCTTCCTCCCTCGACTGCGCCACCGTGCACGCCTTGCGTCGAGGGCCGGCTCCGCCGTGCCCCACACTCCTCCTCGCTGCGTCCGGCTACTGCCCCCCTTCAGACCCTGCACCTGGACGTTTGGGGCCCTGCCCCCGTCCCCGGCCCGCGCGGTGAGCGCTACTTCCTTGTGCTCGTCGACGACTACACGCTCTACACCACTGTGTTTCCCCTGGAGCGGAAGGCCGACGTGCCCGACGTTCTTCTCCCGTGGGTTGTGGCTGCGCGTCTCCACCGCGGTCTCCCCGTGTTGTGTCTCCACTCTGACCGTGGCGGCAAGTTCGCCTCTGGTCGGCTTGGACAGTTCTGTCGTGCGGAGGGCATCACCCAGTCGTACACCTTGCCGGACTCGCCACAGCAGAATGGGGTTGCTGAGCGCCGCATCGGCTTGGTCATGGAGGTCGCTCGCACCTCCATGATCCATGCCGATGCCCCCCATTTTTTGTGGCCGTTCGCTGTTCGCTATGCTGCTCACTAGCTTAACCTGTGGCCACGCTCCCAGCGGCCGCAGGTTTCGCCGACCCTCCTTTGGACCGGGTCCCCCGGTGACGCGTCTGCGTTCCACGTCTGGGGCTGCCTTGCTCACGTTCGTGCCTCTGGCATGGACAAGCTCACTGCCCGCACTGTCCCCTGTGTCTTCCTCGGTTTTCCCCTGGACTCGTCTAACTAGCTTTTCTACCACCCGCCATCTCACCGCTTCCTCGACTCTCGTGACGTCACCTTTGACGAGTTTGTCTCCTTCTACCGCCACTTCCCTCACCGAGGTCTCCCGGTTGCCCCGCCCCTGTTCCTCGCTCCCTCTCCCCCGGTAGCCCCTGCTCCTCTCCCGCCGCGTCCTGCCCCGTGTTGTGTCTCTCACGTCACTTCCCTCCTGTCGGTTGTCCCATTTGAGGAGTCTGCTGACTCTGGTGGTTCCCCCGGTCTGTCTTGGCCGCGTCCCCCTTCCCCGGTGCCTCCGCCCCCACTGTCGCAGTCGCCGACCCCGCTGCAGCCGTCGCCGCCGCAGTCGTCGCCGCCACTGCCGCGGCCGCTCTTGGCCCCTGGGGTTGCTGGTGTGGAGGAGGGTGTTCGTCCTGCGGCTTCTGGGGGTGCCGCTGGTGTTGGAGAGGGTTCTCGCTCTGGGGGTGTTGGTTCTGGGGGTGCTGCTGTTGAGTGTTCTGCCGACAGTCGTTCTGCCTCTCCTGGTCCGAGAGTTCCGGCCCCGCCGTCGTCGCCGCCGCAGCAGCCGTCACCGCCGGTCTCCGCTCTCCGCCTGCTTGGCCTTCCCTCCCCGGACCACTCGCCGGTGTCTCCCCCGCCGCCTGCTGACCTTCCGGTCTACGGTCCTGTTTTTCCGCCGCCGGACTCGTCTCCCACCCGTCTTCCTCCTCGTTCTCCTGTTGTGTCCCCTCCGCTGTCTCCTGATCCTACCCCTCCGTCCCACGTTTGGTCCCGCCGTCCCTCCCGTGCCCGTCCCGCCTCTCCTGTCCTGCGCTCTCACCCTATGTTGCTCCGTTCCCACTCGTCTCGTCCTCCCCTCCTTCCCTCCCCTCCTCCCTCGTCGCTTGCTGTTGCGCCTCCTCCGTTCTCGGACTACCTCGGTGTCGCTCGTCCTCTTGTCCCTCGTGTTCTTGCCTCCCTCGTTACCGACACTGCTGTTCCTGTCTCGCGCCTTGACGCGCTTGTCGCTGCTGTCGCTGACTTCGCCTCCACCCGCCGACTTGACTTCGCTACCGCTCTGGTCTCTGACCCTGCCCGTCCTCCGTCCGTCGGGGGTGCTCCTGCCCTGGGCAGTTACGTCCTAGAGGACAGGCAGTGCGAGCTTGCTTTCCTTTCCGAGGCTGCTCCCCATCTCTGCTCCATGCTGTTAGTCCCTGATGGTGACCCCGACGCCCTCGACATCCCGACCCCTCGCACCTACGCTGAGGCCACCTCGGGACCTTGGGCCTCTCAGTGGATAGCTGCCATGGAGCAGGAGATGGCATCTTGGAGGTCCACCGGTACTTACGTCAACGCAATTCCCCCACCTGGGGTGAACGTAGTCGATGGTCGGTGGCTCTTCAAGGTGAAGCGCCCGCCTGGAGAGCCGCCTGTCTTCAAGGCGCGCTATGTGGCCAGAGGCTTCAGTCAGCACAAGGGGGTGGACTTCTTCCAGACCTTCGCCCCGACCCCGAAGATGACTACTCTTCGGGCGCTGCTACACGTAGCAGCACATCGCGACTACGAGCTTCACTCCCTCGACTTCTCTACTGCTTTCCTTCAGGGCAGCCTACACGAGCAGGTCTACCTGCGTCGACCGCAGGGGTTCACTGGTACCTTCCCCCCTGGGACCCAGTGGCTTCTCAGACGCCCGGTCTACGGCCTGCGTCAGGCTCCGCGCGAGTGGCACGACACGCTGCGGGCCACGTTAGCAGACCTGCAGTTCTTTCCGTCGTCCGCTGACCCCTCGCTGTTTGTGCGTTCTGGCCAGACTCCGTTCTACATCCTTGTCTACGTAGACGTCCTGGTCTTTGCTACTGCTGACAGGGACGCACTGGCCTCTGTGAAGGCCGAGCTGCTGAAGAGACACACCTGCACTGACCTTGGAGAGCTGCGTCGCTACCTTGGCTTGCAGATCTCTAGGGACAGAGCAGCACGCACCATCACTCTGACACAGTCACACTTGGTGCATCAGGTCCTTCAGAGGTTCGGTCTTCAGTTCTCCTCTGCATAGCCCACACCTCTACCTGTAGACCACGGGCTTTGTGCTCCTGTTCCTAAGGAGCCAGTAGAGCCCAGCGGCCCCTACGCAGAGCTGGTGGGTTGCCTCATGTACCTGATGACCTGCAGTCGCCCAGATCTCGCATACCCTCTCAGCATCCTGGCTCGCTTTGTGGCCACAGGCAGACACCGACCACAGCACTGGTCGGCCGCTAAGAGGGTTTTGCGATATCTAGCAAGTACATCAGGCATGGGGTAAGTGTTAGGAGGACGCAGGCCAGTGGTCCTCACTGGGCACACAGACGCTTCTTGGGCAGACGACTCTGAGACGCTCAGGTCGTCGCAGGGCTATTGTTTTAGCCTTGGTTTGGGTGCTATCTCTTGGAGATCCACTCGCTCGTCGTCTGTTGCTCAGTCTAGCTGTGAGGCTGAGATCTACGCTGGTGCCATGGCGGCACAGGAGCTGCGCTGGCTGACCTTCTTGCTCACAGACTTAGGTGAGCGGCCTAGCTCTGCCCCGGTCCTGTACGCTGACAACAGGGCCATGATACTCCTGTGTCAGGAGCCTCGACTTGAGGGCAGAGCGAAGCACATCCAGCTGCGGTACTTCCTCCTGCGCGAGCTACAGCAGCGCCGCCAGGCCCGCGTAGTTCACTTGGCCTCTGGTGCCAACACAGCTGATATCTTTACGAAGGCGCTTGCGCCTAAAGATCATCAGCGGCACTGTGTACAGCTCGGTCTAGTTCCTGTAGCCTCTCACTTGCTAGGACCTTGACTTTGTACTGTCCTATATATATCTATATATATGTACTCAGACTGGACTTGTGTCCTCTCCCAGTGGCTGGACTAGTAGTGCCGCCCTGGTCTTGTTCTTGTCTTGCCTGTACCCCATTTTGACTGGTCTTTAGACCCTTGTCTCAGTGGCTGGACTAGTAGTGCGCCCTGAGCTGCTTGTTCAGGATTTGCCCCTATGCAGTCTAGGGGGTGTGTCAACATATATTTGTATAGACTGTATAGGGTCACCTCTTAGAGGGTACAACACTTTTAGGTATATACCCTTGTTCTCTCACTTTATTCAACACTTGTTAAATTTTAGTTTCTTACAACTGGCGCCAAATCAATCGTCGCGCACCAATAACGTAGCAAAGGTACTTCGCATTACAAACAATTTCGGGTCCCATACCATTTCAGAAATAGAAAACGCACCAAAGGGTCTGCCCCAAAACGAAACATTTTTCAAGAGCTCCGCTGGTGTGCTATTCTAGCATGTGGTTTTAGGACCCTGCTGCCGATGGCCGTAAATACTCGCCAAAAATGACGCGCCATAAATTACACCTTTTGAGTACGGCCAACTGGCCGAAATATGAACCTGGTCTCAAAAAAGTGTCTTGGTTCTCTCCATGCTGCGCAAAGCTTACAGCTGAATAAATATCGCACCTGCCCTGCATCATCTTGCCTCCACATGTGAATCTTCACATGTGTTGTGATATAATTGGTACATAGCATTTCTGTAAGTCGATTAAGTGTAGTTAGTGTCGAATCTTACTGTAGAACATAAGTCCGTAGGATGACGTCAGCAAATAGCGCTGGTCATAGGACAGTCGTTTCAGTCACGCGAACAGTCGCACCTCTTCAATATCATCTAGGGCGCATAGCGCGATAGTGACGAACATGTACATTAGCGAATAGGTACTTTTCGTAGAACTATAAATCTCGGTCAGGTCTTTTCATTATTAACTTTGATTACCCACAAGTTCACATACTCAGGTTATTCAACCTTGACTATTACATTTTACAAGACTTCCGCTGTCTTACTAGTCTACCATTCTAGCAAAGATCCTGGACCAACACTTGAGGATTTGCCAAGTGTTCGTGTTTATAGTTTATACTTAGTCTACTACAACACCAGACGATTTACTTCAACATGAACATCATGGGTATTCAAAGGTACTCCGTAACTTGAGATAGCATTCCTGAGTGAAGCAACTCTGTCATCTCCTCAGCCTCTACAGGTGATGTTGCTGCAGAACCAAAATTATTGTACATCCTGGTGTCAGACTTTCCTCATGTAGTTCCATTGATTCAATCATTCGGGCACCAGCCAATCTGAGCATTTAGCTGTCTTGTCCAGCCCTAAGGGAATAAGAAACCTGGATATCACTTGGCTGAACAGCAGTGGCATCTGCAGCAACAACCGAAGCAGTCTTGGATTTGCGCCGTGATTTTGGTCTTGCTGTGTTTACCTTCGTGCCGATGCTGCTGCTCCGGCTGCTCCCCCGTGCCTGCTGCTGCTGCTACTTTTGCCATTGCAGTTGCTGCTGCTCGTACTGCTGCTGATCCCTCCAGCCCCAGTTCTCTCTGTTAGCTCTCCGTCGGCTGCAGCAACACCCGCCCGCGGATCTTCTTGTTAAGTGATTGGTGGAATGGGGGGATGGGGGCGAGGGGGGCTTCGGGCTTGAGGTCTGTTCGGCAGATGGGGCAGGTGGTTTTGGCGGCGAGCCAGAGGTCGATGCAGTCCGCGTGGAAGCCGTGTGCGCACGCCGGCACCACCTTGATGCGCTCGCCCGCCGCGTACTCGCCCAGGCACACCGCGCACTCGCGCACATTCGTCCACGTCAGAGTGGGACTACCACTCGGAAGACTCCGCGCCTCCTCGTCGCCGCTCAGCGGAAATTTCATATTGTCGTCACCCTCGATGTTTACCACGAATTCGCCTCGCTTTGAACCAGTTTCGCGGGCGCTTTCTTTCTCCGGTCCAAAGCCGATGCTGCTGTTTTCTTCCCTAGTTGGGCAGCGAGAGATCGAAAATTCTCTGCTGATTCGACGGGAGGACGAGCTGAGCGTTCGCGAAATTTCGCGGCTGATTCTGCGGAGGGAGGTCAACCCGGTTGTCTCAGGGGTAACCCCGCGACTGTCGATTTTTTCTTCGCGAAACGTGTAAACTGGAAACGAGCGAATGACTGCCGGATCCAGACCCTTGGCGACATTCGCGGATTCGCGAAGAGCCCGCAGTCGCGCGGCCCGTTCTGGGGTACAGTCGCAGGATCCGTCAGGTGAACCCACCCGAGCTTGCGGAAGATGTACACGAGGAGGCCTGTAGCGAGTATAATAGTAACGAATCCCGCAATAGAGACAACGATCATGACAGTCGAAACTGAAGATGTTGAAATGCATGGCGGCGGTGATGGTGCTGACGTGGCGTTAGGCGAGCTGCTTCGCAGCATCATGCCCGACATGCCGATCCCGCTGTTAGCGGAATATGATGACGTGGATGCGTCGCATGGAGCCATCGCGTCGACGAGAGTGCAAGAATTTGTTGTCGCTCGAGATGTTAGTCTTCAAAGGAATCGTTGTCGCAAGTTACGACTAACTTAGGACAATCCGTGAGACCCTGATGCGTGATCTCCCTTGGAAAAAGTCACCAGCAGTATTGTTCTGCAATCCCCACTTTAACCGGTTCCAAAGGCTTCACGTTTTCTGACTCAGAAAAGGCTTTTCTAGCAATAACTGCTCGACGAATTCGGAAAGGGCGGTGTGCGCTCATCTGAATACAAACCACCTCATAATGTGTAAGCGACGGAATAACGGCCATCAGTTGAGCAGCCTCACACGGACTGTATGTGCAGGTTCGGCAGAGGTCCTGCGTTCAACTGCACAACCAAAGTCTGCAGAGGAAGCCATGCGTTCTTCAGGAGGTGCCAGTTTCAGCGAATTTGGCTTCAGATGGCAGCCACTGATATTCGCTGTTAGCTAATCAAAGCATTCTGTTCGAGGAAGTTTTCGGTAAGGGATGTTACTTGAGTACGGTGCAGATTGGTTCTGCCGGCCACCAGCTGTAATGCAAGGTTCCAATTTGGGCATTTGCAAGAATCCAACCAAGCGATTGGTTGGTGTGAGGCTAGGAACGGTCAAATTCATCTGCTCGGCCACGTGTAGTTGTATTCGTGGAATCTGGTTCAGCTGCGACTAGAGACACCTGGTTTCACGCATCCGTCAAGAAATCGCCAGTCGGTTGCGCCTGCGATGTCGCCGCGCCTTGCCAGATGGGAGCAGCCGTTCCGTCGCGCGATTGCTGGGTGTTGGGCGATGATTGGTCGGTAAGGGCGCGGTTCAAATCACACAGTTTTCACGCATCTTCGTAATTACGTTGAAGAGTTGACTGTACAATTAGGTTTCCAAATGCTATGAATGTAAGACATGCAATACTAGAGTCACTCCACTCCATGGTTCTCCACGGCCATTTCCTCGCTTCAACAGTATTGGGCGTGATACTTCATGTCCTAGACCTCATCAATGCTGTTCCGCCTCTGCAATCTCCCATGCTTATGATTGAAGGGGCTCAATAACTTGGTTCTTGGATATGAGTTGGTGACCAACTCACCATATCCTTCCGGCCAGGGACAACTTAGGTCAAATGAGGCTCACTGTTCCACCGCCTGAGGTCTCCTCATCCAAAGCAGTGATGGGGACCAGGCACTCGCCAGAAAACTCCCTTCCCTTTATTTCGTTTGTGATGATGACCTTAAAACCCTGGTGTGACCTTGATGGTCACTATCAATCACGTCACTCCAACCCTCGTGCTCGTGTTCCAACTCATTCTCGAGCCGGTTCTTCCTGTGCTCTCAAATCAGGCTATCTCTACCACCCCTCTCCTTCCTGCATCAATCAGGACCGTTCCAGCCCCCGTTTCTGCTGCTTCTGCTGCTGCTGCTGCTGCCTCCTCAACTCCCACCGCTGCTGCTGCCACTGCTGCTGGTACTGCCCCTGTTACCGCGCTCCCCGCTCATTCTGTAACCCCTCCGTCGGTTACAGTAACACCCGCCCGGTGATCTTCTTGTTGAGTGATAGGGGAGGTGGGGGCGATGAGGTTTTGGGGCTTAAGGTCTGTTCGGCAGATGGGGCAGGTGGTTTTGGCGGCGAGCCAGAGGTCGATGCAGTCCGCGTGGAAGCCGTGTGCGCACGCCGGCACCACCTTGATGCGCTCGCCCGGCGTGTACTCGCCCAGGCACACCGCGCACTCGCGTACATTCGTCCACGTCACACTTGGCACACTCGGCAGTCTCGGCGCGTCGTCATCGCCGCTCAGCGAAAACCTGTCGTCCCCTTCGATGGTTACCAAGACTTCGCATGCGCTTTCTCTCGCTGATCGTCCGCCGGTGCTGCTGTTTTCTTCCCTGGTGGGGCAGCGAGAGAGCGAAAACTCTTCGCTGATTCGACGGGTTGAAGAGCTAAAAGTTTAACTTCGCAGCTGTATTGGCGAAGGGAAGCTAACACGTTCGTTTCAGTGGTAACCTCGCGTTTCACGGATTTGTCGCTAAACGTGTAAACAGGAAACGAGCAAATGACTGCCGGATCCAGACCCTTCGCGATGTTCGCAGATTCGCGAAGAGCCCGCAATCTCGCAGCCCCTTCTGGATCTGGATCTGTCTGGTAGAACCACCCGCGCTTGTAGAATATGTACACGATGAGGCCTGTAGCGAGTATAATAGTAACGAATCCAGCGACAGTGGAGATGAACGTGACTGACGATACTGGAAATGTCGGCGCGCATAGCGGCGGTGGTGGTGCTGACGTGGCGTTGGGGAAGCTGATCAAGAACGTGTCAAACGCATTGCTTCCGGAGCTTGATGACGTGGATGCGTCGCAGGGAGCCATCGCATTGCGTTTAATACCGTGAGATTCTGATGCCTAAACTTGCTAGGGAACAAACTGCTGCAGTGTAATCCAGCGCACCGGTTTCGAGTCACGCAGTGTCTTGCTTCGAGTCTAGATTGTTCGAAGTCGTTCTTAGAATCGTGGTTTCGGTTTCATACCTCTCTACGTCCAGAGACGGATTGCGTGTGTTTGAATCCTACACCAGCATCTATGAGTGAGACATGTTCAGCAGCCGTGCAGCTTTATCTATGGGGGAACTGTGGGGGTGTCGTACTAAAAAGCAACAGGAAATATCTGAAGAGGACGCCATGGATTTAGAAGGTGCCACTTTCAGTGAATTTGGCTTCTGCTGCTGCCACCGATTTTTTTGCAAGCTTGTCAAAGCATTATCTACCATAAGGTACGCAGTGAAGAGGCTTTCAGCAGGTTTACAAACTTTCAATTCCGGTGAAGCGTGGTTCTCCCTTTCCCCGCAGCTTCATTTCGAGATTCCGTGCTCTGGTGTTGCAAGATTCCAGCCGAGTCAGGGAAGGTTTGTGTGAGATTTTTCATTCTCAATCACGTGTCTTTCATTTATTCGTTAAACATGCCAACTGGCGCAAGAAACTGCAAATCACGGGACCTCTTGACCTTCGGTGAACCAACAATGTCGCCGCGCCTCGCTGGATGGGGTTGCTTGCTGGTCAATGGTTGGTCGGTTGAGGCGCAGATCAGGGCACAGTTCAAATACCGCACTTACGCATCCTCGTAATGCTCTTTGAAGAGTTTGCACTGTACTATGCATTTCCGAAGAGCTCTTGCAGATCACTCTATTCTTATGGGTTAGGAGATTCCTTGCTTCAACTGTCGAGGCTTCATGATGCAATCCATTAACTCAAGAATGCAGTACCACATTATTCTGTACAAAAAACCCTCTTCACCAAAGTGTTCGTCACGTCCTTTCCACTCTTTCATTTCCTAGACAAAAGATTTTCCTGCACTCACCAAACCATAGGCCTATTGCCAGCACTTGTGGTCCTTCCAAGGGGCTTAGAAACTTGGTACTAGGATATTGGCTAGTTAGCGGTGGTGGTGTTGACACCACCTCAAACATTGGCAGCAGTAGCATGAGCAACCTTGGGATTTGTGGCTCAATATTCGTCAAGATTCTCTGCCAAACACATTCATCAGGAGACCACGGGCTAGTCGAGGCTCACTGCTTCACCGCATGACGTCTCTCTTCTTCACGCCATGCACCTCTCTCCTGATATATGGCTGAGTTGGGGAAAACACACCCTCCTCCAGGGAGCGATGCGTTCCATTTTATACCCCCCTCACCCCCACTGCTGCTGCTGTCTATTGCTGCCCCGGAGGTACTGCCGCTGTTTCCTCACCCCCCGTTCCCTCTGTTACCCCTCTGCCGGTTGCAGTAACAACAACCTGCGAGTCTCCTTGCTGGGTGATGGGGGCTTCGGGCTTGAGGTCTGTTCGGCAGATGGGGCAGGTGGTTTTGGTGGCGAGCCAGAGGTCGATGCAGTCCGCGTGGAAGCCGTGTGCGCACGCCGGCACCACCTTGATGCGCTCGCCTGCCGCGTACTCGCCCAGGCACACCGCGCACTCGCGCAGACCCGTCATCACCACTTCATCGCTCTCGATGGTTACCACGAATTTGCCACGCGTTGAACCATTTTCGCCAGTGCTTTCTTTCACCAATTCGTCGTCGTTGCTGGTTCGACGAGAGGAGTCAACGGATCTCGGAATTTCGTGGCTGATTCTACAAACGGAGGCTAACCCGTTCGCGTCGGGTGTAACATCCCGACCGTCGAATTTGTCACAAAACGTGTAAACTGGGAATGAGCGAATCACTTCTGGGTCCAGTCCCTGCGAAGCGTTGGCGATGCTCGCACTTTCGCGAAGGATCAGCAATCGCGCAGCCACTGCAGGTCGTGCAGTCGGGGCAGGTTCAGGCACGACAAGCCACCCGAGCCTGTGGAAAATATATACGAGGAGGCCTGTAGCGAATACAACAATAATGAATCCCGCAATAGTGGAGAAAAATATGATTCCAGATAGTGAATACGCAAGCGTGCACGGCGGTGGAGGTGGTGTTGCTGACGTGGCGTTCGGGGAGCTGCCGTTTGATGACGTGGATTGGTCACAGGAAGACATTTGCTTGTGCAATTGCAGATGAGATGGCTAGAAAGGAATGGCGAGTGAGCCTGCTGGATGAAACTGCAGAGAGACCGCAGCATTGTCGCGCGCAAGTATAAACAGTACTACTGAGGATTAGGACCCGTCAGCTCGACTGGAGACCGAATTATAAATATTTCGTGGGACCGTACTAAATGCTTAGGGTCCTAATCTCCTGGAGATTAGGAGCGGCCAGGAACGCTAAAAACAGCAGCCTTCCGATGGCAGATTGCGTACTGTTTCTATGCCTTAGAGTCTGTGAGCGATCGAGGGCGTAGGGGTAAGGCGGTTTCGACCATTGCACGTCGCCACACTTCAAATATAAATAAGCTAAACTTCGTCCAGGTTCTGAGGCTTCAACTCGGAGTCACTTCAATGGTTGACTGAGCGCCACTAACTGCTTTGACTGCCTACAGACGGACGGATTGCGCTCTGCAGTCAGCACCCAGAAAGAGCAATTTCGCGTATGAGTGATTGAGAGACTGTACAAGGTGCGACGTTTTGCAGCTTCATGAGCACAAGGAATGTGCACTCATGCACACGATGGCACTGGCTGGATTGAGCTCTTCATACGGAAGCCATAGAATCTTGAACAGAAACTGGACAACAAATTCCGCTTCCACGATTACTCGGGTTTTTAAGGTTATCGGTAACCCTTACTGGCATTTTAATATTTTTGAGTAACATTTATCCCTTTAACAGAAGGGTTTCTTGCTGTTCCAATCCCCCCGGGCCAGTTTTTGTGTTCTTTGAGGTTAGTTTGCACCACAGAAAACCACGCGTCACAATCTCCTTGTTCCGTCACTGTGGGGCTACTAAACTCTATGTTTCCTACAATATTGTGGGATCTGTAGCGCTACAGAAAATGACGACAACATTCGGGCAGGTTGGCTGGCAAGGAAAAAACTAAAACCCGTAGGGGCGAGTATGCCATTCTGGATGGCATCAACCCTAAATTCGCGGCCCTTTTGCGAGTTTAGGGTTGATGCCATCCAGAATGGCATGCCTGGCCCCTAAGGGTTTTATTGTTTCTGCCCTCTGCCTAAGATTGAGGAGATTGTTACACGTGGTTCGCTGTGGAGCGAGCTAACCTCGGAGAACAAAAAACTGCCCCCAGGGGGTTTGAATGGCGAAAAATCCTTCCGTAATAGGGGCTAAACGTGATCCCATAGAGTAAAACGTTAGTAAGGGTTACCGGTAACCTAAAAACCCCGATTACTCGTACAAGTGCTCTCTCTCACAAACTTCATAGGCCCTCATAGCTTCGGTGCAGTTGGATCCGACGGCTTTTAAAAGCATTTCAGAGTGGTGACGCGTGCTGGGGTTCACTTTAGAGCACGCCGCTTGGTTCGGCTCCTGAGATGCTGACTGGTTATGGTGTGTGGACACTAAAAGGGACAACGATCGATTTTGCACACGTGTCTATCTGCTAATGGTGGGCCCTGTCCATCGGTGTCCTTGGGGAATTGACGGCTGATACCAGTTCCACCTTCGTTGTCGGCGGGCCTCAACGTGGCCTGGCATTCGGTTCGGTTGCCTGATTGCGAGGCAACATGGTTTGCTGGTCGGTGACGACGAGAGAGCAAGAGACCTGGACTGGAACTCAAAATACACCTGGTGTCCACAGAATGCCGTGCTAAAATCAGTCCCAATCGCTTCCCTGATCCATATTCCAGTCCAAAAACTGTACATCCAGCACGACTCGCAAACAGTGTGTTCCAGTGTCGGGCTTCAGTTTCAAAGCCTCACACGTATGGATTTACCGATATGGATGAGGCACACACTTCTCAGTCCACTATGGTAATGTCTACGAAACTAAGATAACTGAATTGCCTCGAGAAGTGCAGGTAGAAGGTAATACACGACCAGGAGAAGATCCCGCACGAATAAGCATCCATGCCAGGCAAGAAAACATCAGTAGGGCTACAGAGTTGCTGACCAGACTATGTATCCTCCCCACGCGCACAAGTTTGCCTCGGCCTCTGTTGAACCACAGTTGTCTCTGCTTTGCAAGCTCACAGCTCTAATAAATAGTGCTTCAACGTAACTTGCAGGGGACTTTCCTTTCAATATACATGGTGCTGTTTCCCTGTGCCCAAGAACACATCACTGCTGTCCCCCCTCCTCTGCTTTATCCCCTCCTCCCAACCCGATCATCATGTGTGCATGATGACCTCTTGACTGTTTGATCCACAGTGAATCTTCCTCCAGGACTACCTGTTGCCAGCGCACATAGCGCCTTCATTGTCACATGGTCCTGGCACCTTCTGCCCACCTTGTCTAGTCCAGATGGATTAGAACTTGGGTATGGGAAACCAGTTGGCTAAACCGCAGTTGCAGTGGCAGCTGGAGCGACAACGTCAGCAGTCTTTGGGTTGGCGCCTTGCAAAGCTCCTCTCACGGGGGTTCCTCCTGTTAATGGGCTGCAAACCATCCTTGGGAAACACTGGGTCTGTTGAAGCTCTCAGCTTCCCAGCATGATGTGCTTCTCTCCCTCCACCCCATGCATTTGGTTCCTGCTTCGATGCAGCGCTCAAATAGAACGCACTCTTCAGGGGCCTCTATTCCCACAAATTCCTTTGCAATGACAGCCTTGTTCAGCGTTGACCTTCCTCTGGAACAACAAGCCCTTTCCTCTGTTCTTCCTCCATCATCATACTCACTCCAAACCTCGTGCTCCTGCCAGTTCGCCTTCCCCGCCACTCAAGCGGCCCTCCGCCCCTCTCCGTCCCGCAGCAACCAGGGCTGCTCCGTCCCCCGTGTCTCCGCCCTCGCCTTCCCCTGCTGTTGCTGCTACTGCAGCAAACAGAAGAGCCGCTTCTTGCCTTTCCGCTGCCCCCGTTTCCGCCACTCCCCCATCCGTTCCCACAGTTCCCCGCACGGCTGATTCGCCAGCTGCCGTCTCACTGCTGCGTCCCCCTGGCTCTGACCGCAGGCCTTCTTGTGGGGGATGGGGGGGTTGGGGGGAATGGTTTCAGTGGGGGATTTGGGCTCGATGTCTGTTCGGCAGATGGGGCAGGTCGTTTTGGCGGCGAGCCAGAGGTCGATGCAGTCCGCGTGGAAGCCGTGTCGCACGCCGGCACCACC